ATATAATAATATATATNTGTGTGTGTGTGTGTGTGTATATATATATATATATATATATATATATGTGTGTATATATATATATATATGCATACATATAAAACTATAACAGTCAAAAACAACGAGTACGAACAATTCAGACATTCGGCAAAAAAATCTTTCCCGTTCATCACATTTATGACATATTCATTACTCCATCGATAGAATGAGAGAATTCAAATTATTTCGTGATATACATTTTAAAGTAAGCACTCGAACATTCTTTTTTCTATATCTCCATTAGTAGAGGATTGAATAAAATATCTTTTACAACAAACGGCATTTAAACTCTTAACATTTGACTAACAAAGGATAGTATGCTTTTGTAAAAATTTTCGATTCGAATGACCGGTTAAAATTGTTTAATTAATAACAATATAAACGACGTATCGATGATCTGAATCTAAGATCAGAGTAAACATCCTGCAGGTTCTAATAATGCCCTTGCTCTAAAAGAATTTTTTTGATTCATAGCATGCATTTGGCGAATACGTTAACAATAAAATAAATATAAATTGTACGAAATTGTTTAAATTTGTACATATAATACGGATTGAAAAAAAAAAAAAATATTTCAACTTATCGAATGATTAATCAGTTCAATTTTTCAATTCAATTTACTTAACGACAACCTCATTAGTCTTTGTTTCATCTCGATTTTCTCTTTTTAACATTAATAAATTAATGTTACTAAGGTTTTGGCAACGCGTTGTTCGAGTGTCGCAAAAACGAGCACAGAAAATGCTTAATACGTATGGTGCCAACTGGCGCCAATTGAAATACTTCCTCGTTTAATCGACAGTCATTCCTTTTTCTAATACAATAAATAACTGTACTGCAAAAACTATAAAAACTATGACGGTATTTATCTAATATACAATCTTCATTATACAAAACATTAGACTATTTGGTGTATCAATTGCACGCAACATCATGACCGCTCTGTGATATTTTATGATGAAACGAATAAGAGTATGGAGAGAAGAAAAAAAAAAAAAAATAAAAGTTTCTAATGCCTCGATAATACATTCACACGATACGAATCGGACATATCGATGTAATTTTCGCGGTACTTAACTCGAAAAGGATGAAAAGACATGACAGGTACGTGCTGTATTTGTGAAACGAAATATCGATTTTCACTCGAATTAAATTCAACTCCAATGCATCGTGAGACGAACAGACAGATGAAACATTGACGCGTATAAAAAAAAATTCATAAAGAAATTTATGATATAGAATATATCAAAAAAATTAAAATTAAAATTATTTCTTTTTTCACGTTTTTGATCTTTTTGAACGTTGATATATCGTATCAATGTTACTTATACTCGATCCAACTTAATAATACTTAAAAAATACTCTGTACATGTGAATAAAAAAAAAAATTGCATTAAATGCATTCTATAACCGCGTGTCAAATATTTCTGAAACTTTCTTTTTTATGAAAATTTGTGGAAACAAGTTCAATCACGTTTCCAATGTAAAATAATAATAATTATTATTATTATTATAAAATAATAATAAAGGAATACGCCGATGATCACACTCTTTCTAACATAGAATATAAATTACCAAATGATTCTTTCGCTCACTCTTACATTAATTATATCGCGTACGAAAATATCAATAAATATAATAGGTGTCTTCGGTTCAGGCAGATGAACCTACGCTAAATTCTCCGCGAAATATCAAGAATATATCTATGTTACAAGGCAATGTGATGCACAAAATCTTCAAACGACCCGACTCCACCCAATTACCTTAAAAAATCAACATAATTTTTTATATTTACGACGTAAGAAATCAAATATATATTTATAATATAAATATACATATATGTAAATGTATATATATATAAATATATATATATATATATATATTTATATGTCGCGTCTACATAACATAAATAAATGCACTGTAGACCACATTCTAGTGTTCCCCAGAAAAATGGTAAATACTCTATATTATACGACAATATAATATAGAATATCACAATCTATGTGCATTATTACACATATTATACATTATTTATGTAAAAGTAACAAATGTTAAAAACATGTAAAAAGATGTAAAGAAAATAAGCTGATCTAGTAAACAGTAAAGAAACATATAACGATTACATTACATCTTGCGTATTGCGATACAAAATAAAACTTTGTTTTTATACATATTTTTATAATCTAATTGAAAATATGCAATGAGAAATTAAGATGAAATTTGAATCATTTCTCCAGATAAAAGATAACTTCTTCTTTTTTTATCAAGAAAATTAGTATTTAAAATTCTTCTGGGGTCTTGTTTTTTATATATGTATATATATACATATATATACATATACATATACATATATATACATATACATATATATATATTAATATGCGAAAGAATTTCTCTTATAAGTTCAAATAACTTAACGACTTAATATACATAGAATAACAATGTATATAATAATAAACGATGTCATGATTTAAGCAGATGGTCACGATGCGAAGAATTGTTGAAGACGCTGTACCGTTCTACGGTCCAGAGCACACAGATCAAAGTCAAATGTTTTCTTCGTAATCTCGTATTGACCAGTTTCTGCGATTACTTGAACAACTCTTTGTAATTCTTGATTATCTTGTAAAGTCATTATTTTTTGTTGCAAGTCTTTTAATTGAGACACATAATCTTCCGAAAACACTGGTGGTTCCCCCATATCTGAATCAACCAAAGTACTATTCGTGGAATCAGGTGCCACTTGTTCCACTTCTGCTTCGATATTTTTTTCAACCATTTGTTCCATGACACCACGATCCTCTTTGTCTTTCATATGAACAGTTTCCTGATCTACCACAACGGGCGATTGACTCGAAGAAACAGGTTCTAAGGGAGGTGACGATGAATGACCTCTATCCTTTTCCCTTTTAACCACATGTTCATCATCGCCTTTACTATCACTCCTTCGTTTTCTCTTTCGAGTATCCTTCTCCTCCCCTTTGCTTCCTTTAGGTCTCTCCCTTTTACTTCGATCTACTTTTTCTTTTTTAATATCCGGCGGGATCGTGGGTGAAAGAGCTTTCGCCATATCGGTTGGCGGTGTAGACACTGTTATATTTTCTACTTCTTTCTTAATGATAGGCACTGACAATTTTGATTCGGTAAAAGAATCATCATCTACGGATGGCGCTGAATCGCTACTATCCCTTTCCGGCATTTCTGCCAATAGAGTTGAAAGAGGATTAGCTACTGAAACATTAGGCACATTATTTTGCTTCTCTGTTGAAGATTTTATCCTATCACGTTTTTCTTTTTTATCCCTATCTTTACTACTATCTCGTTTATCTTTTTTATCCCTTTTCTTATGCTTATGTTTCTGTCTATCCTTGTCACTTTTACTATCCTTCGTTTTGTCGGATCTTTCCATCTTTTCTGCTTTTTCTATCTTTGGCAGCTTATCATCCTTTGGTTTCTCACTCTCCTTCGGAGGTCTCGGCGATTTTCTTCCATCTTTCGTAGATTTATATTCTTGACTTTTTTCTTTCTCGGATTTTTCCGATTTGTCTGGCTTATCATTTTTCTTTTCTATTATTTTTATAGTTTCTTTCGAAGAAGACCGTTCTCCTTCTTTATATTTATCTTTTCGTTCTCTATCCCGATCTTCTTTATGTTTTTTCTTGTCCTTTTTTTTTTCACTTTTAGAAGAATCGCTAACGCTCTTACCATTATCTTTTATTTTATCTTTTTCCTTATATTTATCCTTATCTTTGTCAACTGTTATTTTTTTTAGTTCTTTTTCTTTTAATTTTGGAGAAGACGGTCTCTTTGCAGGAGGAAGAGAAGGACTAGAAGGTCTTTTTAATGATATTAATGCAGGTGAAAGAGGTCTTTTATTAGAAGGGCTAGAATGACTTTTATTTCCAGGACTTGGAGGTCTTTTTGATTTTTCTTTATTACGAATTTTATCTTTAGATTGATCTCTGATTCTTTTATCCTTTTTGTCGTCTACTTTCTCTTTTTTATTATCTTTGTGAGGGCTCTCTTTGAGTTTTGATTTATCCACCTTATCAGACTTTTCAGTGCTAATTAATGATTTAGAACTTGAGGATTTTTCTGATTGTATAGGTTTTTTAGGATCTTGAATAACTTTTGTAGGCTTTAGAGGAGTTCCAAATAGCTCAGCAAAAGAATTAGAAGTTTTTGATTCTATATTTTTGTGCTTTTTTGTATCATTTCCATTGATTTTTGGTTTATTAACCATAGTTAATGCTTTAGTTTCACTTTTTTCAACTGAATTTTCAGAATTAGATATAAGAACCTAATCATATAATGTTTATTACGATTTATATAGTGATTTAAGAACCTGTAAATATAAGATTAAATATACTTACACCACCACCCTTTAATAATTCCTTTTAAAATCATCTGAAGGATTATTAATTATTTCAGTATGCTTTATAACACTGGTAATTGCAGGACCACTTTTTTGTAAATTAAGGTCATATAAAATTTCTATTTTTTTGCTACCTTCATCCTTATTTTTTAAATAAATATGAATTGGAATCTCAAAACCAGCATAACCAGATTCTTTTATCACAAATGGTGGTTCTTTTATGATTCTCTTTGGTTTTGTAAATGTTTCATGTAATTGAAAAACCACTACAAAATATAAAATAAAATATATCAGAATATGATCCATTTTGTATATTTAAGTGTACATAATATATACATAATATACATTCAGAAATATATTTACCTTTTTCAACATAGTGGTGGATATCAGCATTATCTATACCTCGCACAAATACTTCCCAATCATGAGTGTATCCTTGTGGAGTGGTCCGCATACGTAACATTGATGCGTGTCCACATTCTAATGTGATACGAATTGCCATTCTCTCATATGAAATTTTTGATACACACTTTTTTAAAGAAAAAATAGTGGAAGCTAATTATGCGGGTAAACACAAGAATTATATTACATTTTTATTGTGAATGAAAATCTTCACTATCAGGTCCTTCACAGAGTATTTGTAATGTTGTAAACCATTGTTCAGCAACTTATGCTAGATGTATAAGTTATGACAATACTTCTTTCCTAATTTTCGTACTTTTAAGATTCTGGTACATCGTTTGGTTACACTTGTTTTACATAAAAAAATGAAACACCACATTAGAGTGGAATGTTGTGTTAAATAAGATATTTATTAGAGGCAATTTACCTCGCAAGAATTATGATAATTCGATAATTTTTCTTAAGCCAAATTCGATTCGATTATCAACAGGTAAACTTTACATCAACTAGAACTAGTCGCCATACTCGTCATTCCATATATACTATACTAGAACAAAAAGCTCGAATGTGTCGCCATCTAGGAAAATCTCTGTCCTCCATTAAACAATACCAATATCAATTCTTGATTTTATACAATTTTGTCCAATCCTTGATTGAGCACACACAAATGATACATTGTTTATTAATAGAACGTACTATTCTCACATATTTAAATTTCGCTTGTTGGTGAATTTCAATGTGTGTAAATTGTTGAAACATTATTTATATATTATTTAATAGTGTAATATCTTAATTTTTATATTTATATTTAAAATTAAAATATAATATCTTTTGTTTTTTTAATAAAATTAATAAATATAACATATTAATCGTAAGTAAATTTATTACAAACAATATATATTTAGAAGAAATATTTAGAGAAATCAATAATATAATATTATTTATAATTTAATGAAGAAAAAAGATTCTAATCTTTACTATAAATGTAACCTACTGATTATATCTTATTAATACAAATTTCATTATAAAAAAATGTTATCTACCATTGTAAAAGAGCACCAAAGCAAACAAGCAGCGAGAAAAGAGAGACAAGGTAAAAAAATTAATTTTTGATTTTATAGAAATTGAATAAAATTATAATTATACAATAAATATTTATATATAATAATATTTGTTTAACAGAACAAAAAAGAAAAGAAGCTGTACAAGCTGCAAGTAATTTGACACAAGCTTTGGTTGATCATCTAAATGTAGGGTGAGTTCTAGATATTCTTTGACAATAAATATAATTATTTACTGAATATATATTTTATCATATAGCGTGGCACAGGCATATCTCAATCAAAAGAAATTAGATGCAGAAGCAAAACAATTGCAACATAGTGCAACAAATTTTGCAAAACAAACACAATCATGGTTGAACCTAGTAGAAGCATTTTCTAGTGCATTAAAAGAAATTGGTGATGCTGAAAATTGGGCACGTAGCATTGAAGGAGATATGAGAACTATAGCAACTGCTTTGGAATATTCTTACAAAGGTAAATATCATCATAATCATTTTTGTTATTAATTTTTTATATATATATATTATCTAAAATTTAATTAATATACTTACAGCTACTCAAGAAGCTCAAGGAACCAGCACTTCTTGAAAGATTAAAAATGTACATTATGTTACACAATAATATTTAAAAAGAAATTTAACAATAAGTGTTATAAAATTTAATATTGTTTTGTATTATGTGTTAAAATAAATGGATTTATCATGTTTTCTTATCTTAAGAATTTATTTATTTAGTATTTAAAATTAATAAGTGTTATAAAATTTAATATTGTTTTATGTTTGTATTATGTGTTAAAATAAATGAATTTATTATGTTTTCTTATCTTAAGAACTTATTTATTTAGTATTTAAAGTTAATAATAGAATTGAAATAATTAGTTGATCACTGTTTAGGAATTTAGTTTGATAATGTTTTTAAAAATCAGGGTTACCAAGTAAATTTAAGTAAATTTAAATCACTAGAAATCCATAGATAGTAATCATGGCAGCAGGTCCTATTGCCGAACGTAATCAAGGTAAGTTAAAATGTTTAAAATACATGTAATATTTTTCTAATATTTTTCTCTTTCTCCTTTTTGTAATTTGAAATGTATTTATTATAATTTAATTAATTTTGATTATATAAAAAATTTTATGTAATGTATTAAAATTAAAAATGTATCATATTAGGTTATGTGCTCATAAACACTTTGTAGATTAACAATTCTAAGAAAATTTCATTTATAAAAACTGAATGTAAATCAGCTTTTTATATCTCGAATGTTTCCTGATGCTTTTAGATGCCACAATATATGTTGGTGGATTGGATGATAAAGTTACAGAGTCCCTTATGTGGGAATTATTTGTTCAATCGGGACCAGTAGGTATGTGTTATATATTCCATTGTTATATTTTCTAATTTTTAATATTCGAATAATTAAATATTTTGTATCACTTTTTTCAGTAAATGTCCATATGCCAAAAGATAGAGTGACACAAATGCATCAAGGCTATGGATTTGTAGAATTTATGGGAGAAGAAGATGCGGATTATGCTATTAAAATAATGAATATGATAAAATTGTATGGAAAACCAATAAGAGTAAACAAAGCAAGTGCTCATCAAAAAAATCTAGATGTTGGAGCTAATATCTTTATCGGAAATCTTGATCCAGAAGTAGATGAAAAACTTTTATACGATACATTCAGTGCATTTGGAGTAATTCTTCAAACACCAAAGGTAATATACGTTCGTAATAAAAATTAATTAATATGTTGAAAATAAATGAGAATAAAATTTAATATTATTATACGAAAAATATATTTTTCAGATAATGAGAGATCCTGAAACAGGAAATTCAAAAGGTTTTGCATTTATAAATTTTGCTTCGTTTGATGCGTCTGATGCGAGTATAGAAGCAATGAATGGTCAGTATCTGTGCAACAGACCAATTTCTGTTTCGTATGCTTTTAAACGCGATGCGAAGGGTGAAAGGCATGGTAGCGCGGCCGAAAGATTGTTAGCTGCTCAAAATCCACTAAGTCAAGCAGATAGGCCTCATCAATTGTTCGCCGATGCACCTCCTCTAGCGCCACCTCCAATTCCAAATTCAAATACAGCGACTCATCAAACTACTCATCACCCTCAACATCACGTAATGCATGGTATGGTTGTACCACCTCCTCCTCCACCATCAACACCAGGACCTCCAATGGGTCACCCACCGCCACCGCCTGTTCCACCTCCACCGTCGAGTGGTTTTCCTCCAGCAAGTATTCCTCCGCCACCTTTACCCCCAATGTCAATGGCAACACATCCTCCTTTACCACCTGGAATGCCACCTCCACTACCACCTATGCCCGTTCCAACGTCTCAAGCACAACAAACGACTCCCAGAATGATAGCGCCACCACCTACTGCTCATTGGGGTGTAAGCGGACCACCTCAAGGTCAATTTCCACCACCACCACCTCCTTCATCCACCGGTGCACCCCCACCTCCGCAATTTGGACAATTTCAACCACCACCTCCCCGACCACCCCCAACCTGGAGGCATCCACCACCTCCTCCAGTGTCTCAAGGTGGACCTCCGCCACCTCCACCTCCACAGTTTCGACCTCCCTTCCCACCAAGAGGTCCTCCTCCTCCACCGCCGCCACACGATTCCACTCAATATTAAATTTATCATCTTCCCTCCCTCTTCGATATGTTTAATTTAAAAACTGTGTAATTTTGACCGTGTTCAAATTGATTAACATAATTAGACTAACTGTTTGTACAAATATTCTGTAAGACAAATTCACAATAAATTTTTTTTAATTTTATCTTATTTTTTTTTTAATTCCAAAATATTTCCTTTCCTCATTCTTACGATAAGATAGATCGTAAGTTTATTTATCTTAATTTATCTTAATTTCTTAATTCAATTAGTTAATCTAACGAATAAAAACGCGGTCATTTAATATATCGATTAGAGAAGTCGCGTGTGAATAAGGACATGCCAAGTTTGTTCTATTGATTATTGCAAGCTTGACCAGTCCAGTCAGTGATAACAGCGAACGGACAAATGAATAGCAAAACAGTTGTCTACGAGCTTGTCATCGCGTTGAAGGGGTTCAGGGGTTGTTTCGTTTATACGGAACGGAACAACGAAAAATAAAAAGTAACAAGTGAACGCGAAGGAAATCGCACGTCGCGTATCAAAAACCGGGTAAGTAAGGGGAACAGGTGTTTGGAGTGGTAAATTAAGAGCATCGGCGACGCTGTGCATTCTGAAAATAACGCGATTTTTTTTAGATCGTTCGTGACTCGATGTAGTTTCATCGATCCATGGAACGCATCCTCGCTTGTCTTCGTTGCTTCTCAATGAAATCGAACCATTTTTAATTAATTAATTAATTAATTAATTTTAATTCGAGATACGATTTGAAATGGTCATTCATCTATCCAATATTCTATCCAAAGGAGAGAATCATGTTTAACTTGTGACATGGCTCGCTTCTACTACGAATGTAACACAGATTTAAAAAATTATACGGAAGACAGTGAAACTATCAAGCCTTACGCTTGTGCATCGGACAAATATTGTTTGTATTGTTGTTGTAATTCGCAGTGTTGTCTATTGGTACAAAGACGGCCTCCACGACACTTTTGGGAAGCCTGGTACTTTTGGCTAGGCATTGCTTTACTCGTTGTTTTTATCATATCTTCGGTAAGTGTGTCAATCATCCGATCATCGATATATTTATATATTTAAAGTATAGATTGAAAAATTGTGCTTCGTTCGTTTCTCCGTTCGTTAATTCCCATCTCCCTTACCTCCCTTCACCGTGCTCGTTTAATTTCCCTCGTGATCGTCAATTTTCAAAGGGATTTTTCGATTCCTTCTTTTTAAAACTAGGTGAGCAGTTACATAGTCAGTAATTGCAGACATAATATTCAAGGTGTACCACTAAGACATAGCGCACATGGCAATCGACGAAACGATCGTGGCGGTCATTCGACAAACAACCAAAATGAAATATCGATAAGCATTATCCCAACCTCGGAATTTTTCCCATCGCACAGAAAAATGTTCGTGATCACGTCTCAGCCAGCCGTGAATCATCTGAGTAAGTAAAAATTGCACGTAGAATTTTCTTATTCAAAATTTCAGGCCGTCCGTGTAATGTAGCTTAAACTTTCGAAAGTTTGACCGAAACGTAACGATACTGCGTTCCACTGCATAATTACGTGCGATAACGTAAAGATGATGTTAACGTAAATACATTTCGTATCGAGCAATTAAGCTGCCAAAGGGGTGGGGGGGGAGGAGTAACTGTGAGCAGTCACGGGAAGAAAAAAGTCGGACACAAGTAAGTAAAAAATCTCGTCGATAAAAGGAGGGGAGGAGGGCGAGGGGGACAATCATTTTAATCTGTCCGAGATTCGATTAAAGTTGAGAGGAGGATGGCCAGGAATAATTCGTGCAATTTCGCGTAATAATAATTTTGTGCATGCATTGATTTATATTGCAGCCCCTGTCGTTGCGTGAAGTCGTTTCATTTTAACGGAGCGATTATGTCGGCGAGAAGGAACGAGCGCAAAGAGGTGGAAGATCATCGTATGGCGTTTTACGCGGCAATACTTCTTAAAAGACACCGCGTGTTCATCGAGCGTTTCGATCGGCTAGAGCGTCGTGGCCACGATCATTACATCGCGGGAAATATTTACGATAAATGCACCTTTTTTACTTAGCCCGAGGATATAATAACTAGGTAGAGCGGTTTAAACAGCTCGATCACGAGCAACATTCTGGTCAAATGAGAAACGATTTTACCTAAGAATACGTGCTTCGTAATGATCAATTTGACACCGGAGCTAGTTAGACCGCGATCCAACCCCTGCTTTCTTAAGTCGCCACACACGATGCATCCGTGATTACCATGATGAAAACTTCCGCCCGGCCTGTTGCGATTAAGCGATTCACCGTTTTCCGATTTAACTCGAGATGGGATGAAAAAAGAAGAAAGAGTTTGAAAGTATATGTGATATAGGATCGGAAACGGGCGTGATAAAATTTCTATGATCTATGATTTAACCGTTCTCAGAATACAAATCGTCGAATTTGTATCATGATTAGATCAATCAATTTCTATATTTCATATCGGTGTAATTTAGATTTTTTTTAGCTGAAATCTTGATTCCATTTGGCTGAGCGCGGCGCAGCCAAGCCCCGATCGAGAACCCGTTCTCGAGAATGGAAGTAACTACCATTAACAATTAAGAAGACACACTCCAGCCTGGTCGACGTATCCGACTGGGTACCAAGAAATCGGGGGCTAATTAAAAAGGACAATCGAGCGAATACAACTCAAGGCGACGTGTACTCTTTATCTTCTCGCGCATCTCTCTTACCCACTCTCCCTCTCTCCCTTCCTCTTTCCCTTTACCTTTATCTTTCTCCTTATCCGCTCAATTCTTCGTCTTCCTTTTCCCTACCTAGGACTCGTCCCTACCGCTCTCTGTTTCCAGATCGATCCACCGATAGCGGTTAATCGCGGTAATCTTCACAGAGGAGAGGAATCACGAAAAACTTTGCCGTTCGTCGAATCGTATCGCGGTAAACGCGGAAACATATCACGCATCTCAAATATACGATAAAACGAAAATGATCGCTCTATGATCTGAATCTAAAGTTATTCGAGCGACACGCGCATAGATTTCTTAGAAATCAGATTAAATCGCGTGTCATTTTCACCTTCGGAAAATGAAAGGATTTAAATGTAAATTTTCATTGTCTTGTTCCATTCGCGTAACGATATTGGCTGTGACCGTGTCAATTTGAAACAGCGATTTTTCCAATCCTCGTAAAAAAACGTCTCCGATTTTATTTTTATTTATCTATCTTTTTTTTTCTTGGAAATGTTAGTACGGAAAATAATATGTTCATTTTAATACGGAACAACGTAGGTTACAATGTGTATTATATATCGATCACGACATCTACACGCGAGAAATGGTATTAATTAATATGCATCGAAAGATACAGATACACGTTTGACATTTTGCACAAGTGTGATTGTAATTAGCTGCGTAGGAAGTGGGAGTGGAAACTACTGTATGATTACCATAAAATTCTATAAATACATACGATTTCGACGTGTTGCGATGTTAATAATATTTTCTAACCTTCTTTTTTAATTTTTTTCACGAATCCCACGCTACGATGCGGTTGCTCAATACGCCAGCAACAGCCGAGCTGAAAGATTTTCTCGCTTCTTGAGAAAATCCAGTTCTCACGATTGACTTAATCCGGGTTAATTAGACTAGACTTCGTTCCAGGTGAAATTTTGAATTTGAAAAACTTGATTCTATCTCTCGGAAGAAAAGAGGCAACAATTTGATCGTGCGAATTAGAGAAATTGTAATCGGGCGAAAGATGGAGATTTCAAGCGTGTAGCGAGAGGAATTTAAATTGCCTACTCTTCACCTCGTTGAAATCGGTCTACTCGAAACGATGAACGGTTCGCAATACATCTCAATAAATTATCCGCGTGAAAGAAATCCTTGTGCTCCCTGTAAATCTTTTTACTGCGAACACTTGATCGTTCGCGCAATAAGAAGTAGCCGCGGAGCCGACTGCCGGCGACCTCGTTCAACTGTAACCAAGTGTCATTCCGATAACCCAGGCCAGCTTTTACTGTCATTCGACGGATGACGATAAAGAAATGTGCAAGCGGCGGGGCTCTGCTTAATGTTGCATGGACAGGAAACCGAGCGGGGAATTAAACTCTCGTCTGCTTCACCGTTCGATACTACCAATAACTACGATTAAGACGTTCAAACGACTCTAAATTGTGAATCGTTCCAGAACACGACGACAATTTTTATCCCATTTATCCCCTCGATCGCGGCCTTGTATTTTGAACGAAATAAAGATGAATAAAGTTGGATTAACGAGGCGTTCTTATTTCCATAGATTGCTCTCCTTTTTCTCTTTTTTTTCGATGCGATACCACACGTTCCGTTTCGTTCCTCTCGTGAGTCGATTTTTAACGAAGTTCGCGATAAACAAGGATTAGAAATAAATAAATAAACGATGCGAGAAACAAAATTAGAATTCAAATAATAAAAGAAACATCGTAATGCTTAATGCAAAATATACGTTTTCGACACACAGTTGTAATAAACTCGACATAGCCCGTATTATCGGTGGTGTTATTCTGTCGAACATCGGTCGCATCTGGATGGTTGGAAATACTATATCAAAGAAAGATACGAACGTGCATCCAATTCAGACGTTATTGTTCCAATAAATCGGACGAATTTAGGGGACTTTTCGAGCTCCTCTCTCTCTCTCTCTTAAGAAAAAAAGTGGAATTCGTCGCTGGAATTCTTTGAAAGCGAGACAGATCCTAAGTTTCGAAATGTGTAAACATAAGATGTGACGAAAAATTAACCAACGAGGCGTAGATCGAATAAAGGATTAATAATTATTAACTATGAATCTTGATCTTTGACATTAATCACGTAATCACATTGAAGGAATCGAATGAAAATCACTGTTTTTCAACATAAATTCCAACTCCTTATCGCGATAAGGATCCAAACAGAAGTTGTATACAAAGAGGAGACACATTCCTTCATCTGGAAGTCGTTTGTGAAATGCATCCCGTGGCTGCGTAGTACACGAATCTGTGATGTTGATCTAATAAATCGGGTTTAAAAAGAGAGCGGAGTCAACGGAGAAAAGCAAGAAAAAGACGAGCAAAATCCAGCGCAGCAAGCGTGAGTATAAATTGCGAACACGAAAGAGGGTTAGCCGAAAGTGATAACGTTTGAGGCGAAAAAAGGCGAAAAAAAGAAAAGCATGGAAGAAATCCTACGGATGGATGCAAAGGACAAAAGTTAAATAATTACATTTAACAAATACGTCAGCCTCTTACGATTTTTCTTCGACTTGGTAATATCTCTCCTATTTCTTAGTTAGATATTCCCAACGTTTGTTAATTTTATCGCCACGTGATACGCTATTTAAAAGGACAACAAGTTTTATCAAGGAAAGAATCGCGAAAGAAACGAGATCGGATCGGAGAAAAAGAAACGTTCTGGAAGGGAGCGATTGTGTGTCGCCTCGATGACGAAAGCTAGCGGTGTATGTTTAATATCCTCGATGACGGAATTAAAATAGATATAGAAATAAATTTTTAAGGTGCGAAAGAGGCGAGAGGGGAGAAAGGAGAGGAAAGAAGACGAAAAAAGAAGAAGAGAGAGAGAGAGAGAGAGAGAAAGATGGAACGACTCCGCGCGAGAGTGGTCAAAAGAGTATGAAGCAAAAGAGAGAGAAGGATACGTTTTCTGTGTTCCAGTGGGAGGTACTAAAATTAGAGGAGCCCACGCGGCTAACAGTTTCTTCTTCAAGCTTCCTTCAGACATTTTCAAATAGTCCTTTACGCCGATAACACAACGTGTTTTCGCGACGTCTCGCTGTCAGTCGCGACTCGGCGCCGTGATTCTGCGTTCGATTCGATTGGCTTACGAGTGACTTCCTCGGGAGAGACACGGTTCTCTCCTTGGAACCCATTCAACGTCCAAGTGATTCAAGATATTCCAACTGGCAAACGAAAATTCGTCCTTTCAATAATCGCCCTTTCATTTTTTTTTTTTTTTTCCCTCACCAACGATATAATCGATATAATCGATGATTCTAGGCGAAAAATGAAAATTAAGGAAGACCGACTCTCCTCTTCCAACTGTTTATTTCAATATTTCATCGAGTGAAATAAGAAATAATTTCAATAAGTAGTCAAGAGTGCAAATCGAGTTTCTTTCACCATTAATCGTGGTTGTCTCTATCGAAATTGCCTGCAGCATTTAATACAAGCTAGCCTTTCAAGACGATAATATATATCCCTTCGTCTACGTGCATGCGTTTCAAGTGACTCTCTCGCGAAGATAGGCTGGCTCCTACTTCATCAATTTCCTTCCCTATCAATGAAATTGTTCCTGCAATCCTCATCGAGTATTCGACCGATTCTTCCCCGAGTGTTTTTTTTTTTTTTTTNTTTTTTTTTTCTTCTTCCCCCCAACATCGAGAATCTCTCCCGGTGATTCCCGGATTGGCCGATTCCGTTAAGGCTGCGGCATGTATTTCAATCGATCGGATATCGGCCTGTCGATCTGCATACATTTCGTTCTGCTATACTTGATTTTTCTATCGACCAACATCGAACGAATCGAAGGTAAGTTGGCGAAGTTCGATCCGATGGATCGTGAAATGTTACCATGTTCGCTTTTTTATACAATCGCGTCAAAACACAACATACTCGACACACGATATATTATTATCGTGCAACCGTATACTCGTGAAAAATATAAATTATATGTATATAAGCGTGGTAAGAACGAGTTTCACCGAAAATAAAGTGCACAAGATGAACACATTTGCATGTACTTACACGCCACGATAAACTCGTTCGGGGGTAAATATCAAAAAATTTATTGGAATTGGCAGGTAGAAAGTGCGTGTGCACGAGCAAGGACTGCAAGGCAGCCGGGGTGGACACGTGCAAAACAAAGTTTTCATGCTACACAGAGTGGATTTTGACTGGGAATCAAGAATTGGAAGAAAACGCTACAACCAGAGGATGCACGTATAGGTAGATATGATTATATGATTATCACATGATTGTTATCCGATGTGATTTCTCCCTACGTTATTCCTTTGATACGATGGCAAAGATGTGATTAAATTTTAATATGCAACGATATATGTATGATATATGTATAATAAATATTTTTACGATATTTATATTTATAGAATTGAAAACAGAAACTGGTTTGACACTGGTAAAAATTTCGATGCTCGTTCATTTCGATTCCGCGCGAATAATATTCAAAAGTCAAAAGATGAAATGGTGTTCGTGTTTTAAACGAGTTTTCAACGATTACTAGTAACAACATTTTGGTAAAAAAAAAGAAAAAAAGAAAAAAAATAATAGAGGCCAACCTCTGACCTTTTCTCTTCTTCGTTGGACAATAAATTTCAACGATATTCAAGTCCGGTTTATTCGAAAACGATTTAATTCGCTGAATTTCGAAGCGATCGACGCAACGTTGTAAATTCACTAGAGCTCCGGCTAACTGAAACGGATAGCCTTGGGGAGATAATCGGCACGAGTTTTCGCAAATTCTTTTTCAGACGTGTCAGAAAGATGACGGAATGTCGAAATCGCAAACGAGTTTTTTTATTATTTCCAATTAAATCTTACTCTCGAACGAGTTATCGAATAAGATAGAACAATCGCCACGAGATAACTAAGGAGAAGAGTCGGGGGACAAAAAAATTAATTTTTGTAGCAACGATAACGTAAATTCGTAAACGATCATCGTCAAAACTGACCCCCTTTTTCCTTCAAATTCCTCCACTGGAGATATTCACATAGTCCGGAGGGGAGGGGGGCGATCCACGAGACGATCAATTCACTCTCGAGTGCGCGATACACGCGTGGAATATTGAAATCTTGCGACGTAAATCGTGGAAAATGGTTATTTAAATCCTGGCTATCACCGGGGTCACGGAACTTTATCTTACTTTGGAGTGGAGTATTTTATCGTAAACGTTGCCGTTGCCCAGGTTTGCCACGCCATTGTTGTGCGAGACAAAGTCCTGGGTCACGAGGTCGAAGTCGAGCGACAACGTGGACCGATCGTCGGCCGCCTGGATCCGCATGCAAAGATTGAAGTGTTGCAACAACCACGACTACTGCAACGCTGATCGCAACGTAAACGCGTCCACGAGGATCCGCGACAAAGACAGGCCCGATCCCCTCAATTCTACTTTACGCTATAATGGTAAATAATCCCTCTCCTTTGCCTTTTTTTATCATCTATTTGCCTCGTTCCTTATATATGTACATTAAAAAGTGTCCGGTTATTCGAAAATATATTCGGCTTGGTTCTGTATATGGCCTCGAGGAAAAACGATATTTATCCAAAATTCATACGGGTTGGCGCCGGTCGAAGTATCTATCCCGGACGTTCAAGCTCACAATAACAATTTCGAGCTCTGGTTTATTTTAAACATCCGTAACACGGTTATCAATGCGATTTATGACACGCGTGATTCAAATGTCGAAACGTTTAAAGACCTATTATTCCCCTATTACGAAAGTAGCCGGAGGAATGGATTTTCTGATAAATCTTTCGTTGTGTGTAAAGGTTCGTTTAATGGGATGTCGTCGAGCCGAGGCATAATGGGATCGATCGTGGCTGATCCGATTGCCGAAGGACGGGAATCGTCGGATCCGTTTCACGAGAATCGCGTGAAACCGCTCCTCGTCGCAGCTCTGGTCTTGGCGATCGCCGCCCTCACATCGGTCCTAGCCGCATGCTACGTTATTACAAGGTGTGCAAATTTGTATTATCTCGATAATGTTCGTCGCCGTGCCGCAGCGAGCCAAGATATCGGAATTTCACCAATTTTTACAGGCTTTGTTTTTGCCGCGAAGCATACATCCGTTGGGGTAAGGTGCATCAATAAAACGTGTATTTTACGACGGCAACCACGTATTTCTATGCGTGTAGAATATCACGAAGGAAGGTTTGCCAGAAATATTCCAGTTTTTTTTTTTTATGTAATAGCCGCGACCGCTTATGAATAAGTAATTTTTAATCGTTCGCCTCGTATTGTTTTTTTTTTTTTCTTCTTTTTTCTTTCTCCTCGGATAATATTTTTCCCCATATTTTTCTTTCGTTTTGATTCACAATCGAAGAATATATCCTTGTATTTTTGCCACATTCCTTGACACGTTGCCAAGAATTTGTTCACCTCTTTGTTAAGAAAACAACATTCATATGTAAGCTCGTAATTGTAATTGGTTGGCAACGTTGGCGTACGTCAGCTTGCCAGCCGATTCTCCAGCGACAGAACTCGAATTCGCGCGACGAACTCGAATTCAAATTGTATTCGAAGTAAAAGTTTCGATTCGGTTTCTATCGGACGGAACAACAATAGGCGTGCCAGAAAAATCCGAGCATGAAAAGAACGCGGCCGAAGGCGAGCTACTACCTTTATCGACAGGTTTGAAAAGTTCTTCCATTGGAAAGCAACCACGATGAAAAACCTTGTGCTAATATTAACTCGGCGACCCGTTAACAATCACCGTTCACAAACTGCAACTTGTGCGATACTCGTCGATGCTACACGGTCAATTGACTGCTCGAAAATTGCCGAGATTATCGGCTCGAAACTCGAACAGTTCGAAATATATTACCGATATATATTAATACCTCGTGCAAGGAGTTCTCTCATCGCCGATTCGATAAGCTTGCCACGTGTCTCCATTCTTACCTCTCGTTACCTCTCGACAGACAATCGATTCGATATAAAACTTCTTATAAACACGATCGAGCCAATCTCCAATTTTCCAACAGCCAGAACTGGAAGAAACAAAATGTTTTCGAGTCTTTTTCCAAATCGATTCGACTTGACCTCTCGGCCAAAACCGAAGCGGTGGCCGACCACCACTTCCTCTCTCGAGCACCACTTTTTATTATCTGCCCAAGTTTCCCTCTTCCTTTTCTGAAGAAGATTTCAGTGGGTTCGTTCTTGGGCCGGTTTGTCGTGGCGCATTAAAAGCTGCCTAACCGCCTTCTTATCAACGCTACTTTTTCTTTGGGACCCATCGAAACAGATAGCGAGGCCCAAAAAGGGGCCCACTCTCTTTCTCTCTCTCTATCTCTCTCTCTGCCCTTTACCTCCCTAATCTTCGGCCTCCAAACGCCTTAAGTGCGTTTTCGAGTTTGGGAATGCCCTCGCCTTTCGAATCGCGTACACCTTGGCGGACGCGTCGCTTCCTCTCTTCCTTCTTTATCTCGTCTTCGAGCGTGTATTTCGAGCGTCGGGACGTGCCGAGGAGGGGACACCGCGTTCCTTTCCCGATTTCTTCGTGTTTCACACGATCGAGAGAACCTTAAACGCGGCCACGTTTTCCAAAGCCGTTTGTAATTACGTTGCCTCGTCACGCCGGATAATGCGCCGCCAATGGGATCGGTAGGGACGTCTCCTTTATCGCGGAGGGTATGGCGCCTCGAGTGCAGAGAAAATAGAGGATATGAATTAGGATAAGAGACAACCGATAAACCGAGGCGGCGTACATTTTCACGAACGCGCGTTTCTACTTTACCTTGCCTTACGTCTTTATCGCGGTCGTATTTTTGGATCGACCACGCGTTCAACTTCGCCCCCAATATTTATATTTCGTGCGTATTTTTATCAATTTTCATTTTCTTCTTTCTCTTCTTCTTCTCCTTTTTTCCACCTTTGCATTTACGTTTCGTTCAATTTACAGATTGTTGAAAACGAACCTGTACACCGTCAGAAACGAAGAATTCATTCACGTTTCTTAGAGATGTTTCGCGTGGTTTTTTTCAACGATTCGAATCGAACGAATCAGGTAAGCCCTTATCGATTATGCATTATCGTTGTGCAAAGAGAAATTACCATGTATATATATATATATATCCAAGTTAAATCGGTTCGACGATAAAAGCTCACGGATACGTTCCGCCTTTAATCGTATGCCCCTGATCGACTAACGAACGCAAAATATAAATAGATGTCACTAAGCAGGAGATAAGTGTCGCCGAACGACAAGCCGAACGAGTCCGAGAACAGATTTTTCTTTTCGATAATATCGAACAGCCTTCGAGCCCCGGTCAGCCCCCATTGTCGGGCTATCGTACGTAACAGTAGAGACAAATAGTTTTATCGATATTAATCTTCCCCTTGGAAATTATAATCGATTCCACGTCCAGCTTTACGTTTACCACTTTCGTTTATAAATTCTTAATTATTTGTACAACCATTGTCTCTCGCTCGATCGAAATATTCTGTTCGTGTTTGTTCAGGATGATAGATTGACGGCGGCGGCAAATCGACGTGAGGAAACGTGGGGATATCCTGCGATTTGAAGAGTCATCGAATGCATGACGAGGCTCGACGAGGGACAGTTTTGGGCAAACAACTCGCTGAAAACTCCTTTGTTTCGAGCTGTGTGACTAACATCGGGCCTCTCTTATTCGAATTCCGTCCTCCCTCGTTGCTTAACGGGCCTTTAAAACCAGGTTGTTGCTTCGATCCTAATTAGTCATCCTTAGAAACACGCGCGCAACTATCAAGGAAACGAGGAAACGCGTATCGAGGGGGGGTGGGGGAAGGAATGAAATCTGTGGTGTAAAAAATGATGCGTGAAAAATCGGATATTTTCGATTTGTCGTTGTATTCGTGAGTGAACGATTGCGTGCAATATAAGTGTAGTAAAATGTGAAAGTAAATTTAACTGTAGCCAAGAACTGTCGAAACCGATGTGCGGTATCTAAACGCGATAAGATAAATTATTATATGCGTAAAACAAACTGCATTCCCGTTTTACAGGATTTACTGTTCTGCTGTGATTGTACGTCTCGGCTCTTGTGCATAAGAAGCTTATAGAATAAAGCGGATCTTGATTTACATATATACGTTCCCTGTAATAATTTTAAATAATGGGTTTGATTCACGTGGCAGGAAATACCGATAATGTATAAATCTCAAGGATTAATTAACATATATGCATGTATGTATATAAAGAAAGACAACCAGTTGTTTGTTGTACCGTTAAGTTGTTTCGCGATCACGTTATATAGGGAACGAGAAGAAAAAAAAAAAAAACTTTTTCTTTTTCAGCGTCTTCAATCATACGACGACTGACAGTCTCTGCTTGTAACAAACGTTGGAATCAAACGACAAACAATAGGTTATTCCATTAAGCGTTGGCTGAAAACTATCCATAACCAGGTGCTCGTCGGATCCAACTTTGGATCTAACTCGACCGCCTTGACCACCACATTCGTTGCGCCGACGAAAATCAATCACTCGGTTAAACGTACAGGTCCGCGATTCGTATAGGTAGACACTCGTCCTTCTCCTTCCCCTTCTCCTCCCTCCCAGGCATCCACGAATGACCAAATATCTTAGATAAATATCTTCAGCTTGTCTAACTGGTTCATCCACGAGCCACTAACAACTAAGATATCTCTCTCTCTCTCTCTCTCTCTCTCTATCCTCTCGAGTTCTTCTCAGTTTTGTTCTTGCTCTTGTTTCGAACAAGTTCAATCCCCTTTTATTCGCGAAACGATCTCTATAAACGTTCTCGCCTTCTCTACATAGCATAATTAATAAGCGATAATAGTTCTTTCTTTCATAGCGTTTGTATCACGGTGTCAACGAACTACACGATACTTCTCTCGCTGTATTCGTATTCGCTGTTATCTGTTCGCTTGTAACTTGACTGAAACGCATTGAATTCACGAAGGAGGAACGAAGTGTCGAACGAATAACTATGCTAAATGCTCATAGCTTGAACGATAGACTTGGCGTTAGAGAAAGATTGGAAGGAACGGATTTAAAAATAATATCGGCAAGGCAAGGCAAGATCAGTGCCAGATATATATTTCATTTGCGAGATGTCCGGGTGACAGCGTTCAGCATTGAGCGCGTCACTTTGGATCGGATTATTCTCGGCACTCGGAACATACCGAAGATTCGGAAGAGGGCAACGATGCATTTCTCGTGTAAGAAATAAGCAAAAATAGGAGCAACGCCGTGGCGCCAACGAGTTAATAGTTAATTGGCTAATGCCCGGCTAAAAATAAACTTCATACCTCGGTGGTTATATTCAAAGAAGTGTATCCAACAACACCGAGCGAGTCCTCTAGTTCCCGAAAAGGAGATCGCGTATGATATTTGGAACTGCGTTTTTTTCCTTTTCTTTTTTTTTATTTTTACGATCGATCTAGGAAAGAAGCGAAGAAGGGAGGATCGAACAAACGCGATATCGAATGAAACGAGGCACGAGTCGGGAGGGGAGGGGGAATAAAGCAGAAATGAGAGGCCGGCGAAACAAGAAGATTGAAATCGGCGACGAGAGATATTGTACCGTCTGTGAACGAAATACCATTTCGAGGAAACCACTTAAAGCAACGAATTAGCCGAGCGGATTTAATACTCTCTCGTCCGTTCCTTCCTCTCTTCCTTCATCCGCAACCGGTCGCACCAGGTGACGATCCCTGCCTATCGACGATCGATCCTCGACGATCCGGGACGAAAGAGATCTCGCGCTTAAGTGAAAAGGTCTATCGAGGGGCACGCGTATGCATAATGCACGCTGAAAGAGGAGGGAGGAAGAGGAGGAGGAGGAGGAGGAGGAGAAGGGTTGACCGATTATCCGGACAAAGGCTGATTTATTTATCTCGTTTATCATCCCCATTACGTGAGCCGATCTTTGCTTAGGTGTCGACACTTTGATACGGAATAGCACTTGGACGATATATTTATGGATCTTTATAGACCATTCCGTCTCTATCATCGGCATGGCAATTTTTCATTTAGACCAGACTCGATAATGGCGATCTTATTCGCCGAAAAGAATCCGACAAGAATCGAACGCGTTCGAAAGGTTGTATAAATGCGGCGCGCATTATTATCCGTAAGTAGGGAAAAGAAATGAGCGGGGACGGACGACATAGCGCACGACGAAAGTTAAAAAGGAGGCCGCCTGTCAGGAGGAAGGCTGACGATCCACAGCAGAAGTAAGTTGCTGCTGCTCTTTTCATCGTCGTCCCTCTTCTTTCGTTCAGGACGCACGAACCGTGTGTGTGTGTGAGCGCGCGTAAAAGCAGAGGGAGAGAGAGAGAGAGAGAGAGAGAGAGAGAGAGAGAGAGAGCGAGGAGGGGAGGACGAAGAATATGTGTGCGCATCGTGAGCTCCACAGACACTCACCCACACCAAGGAAACGTGGCGTCTCTGCCTCGGGGCTCAGGCGCCACTGTCTCCCTTCTCCCTGTCCCTCGTTTCCCTCACCAGCCGCCCATTTCCCGGCGTCGATCCGCACTACTCAACCTTTTACCAACACACAACTCTACCGGCCTGGCCGCATACTACGTTCTGGTACAGTGGCTGCCATTAACGTAAGTGGCAGAGGCCATGTGCGCGCTCTTGATCCGATGGCTGAAAACCCCTAGGAATCGCTTCGATCTGTGATCATCGTACTTCGAGAATCGAAACGATATCTGGAAACGGACACGAACAATCCCATTTTACACGAAAATCGTTCATTCGTGTCGTTCCAAATGACGCGAAACTTATCGAGTTATTTCGTCTCGAACTCGAGCGCGGGAAATAAAAGTAAAATCTATCTATTCTATCTATCAGAATCGGAAAATCGGATTGGAAATTGGGAAATTTCCTTATCCCAGACTGGGCGAACGATTACGAAGTTGTGGCATAATTAAAATTAAACAGAATCGTGGTATATATGAGAATTGGCTAGATGACGGGTTAAACGACAGCCGTTGAACGTGCGTATTGTACGCGTTCACGGTGCGTGGTTCACCGACAAGGGGCACACTATCGCAGCCGGAGGCGGGACTCGTTTAAAAACTATCTGGCGAGTGTTCTTCGCCGGGTGCCCCTGGTGCGCGCCAGCCGCGGCGGAGTCGTCCGGCTGCACGCCGTTTGCTTCGAGAGACCGAAGTGAGTCAGTCAGTCAAGCGTCGACCATCGTCGGGATTGGACGCTCGCGAAAAACCACTTGGACGAGTCTGCCGTGTCTGCCCGTGAATCTTTTTCCTTTTTTTTTTTGTTGCTTCGATTCGTTATGAATTTTCGAAACGAGATCGGGACAGAGACCGGGATCGATCGCGGCCACGAATAATAATAATAATAGTAATAATAAATTCTGATCCGAATCAGAACGACGACGATCGAATTCGATGGGGTTTCGATCACGATTTCACCGCGATCGCAAACAGTGTCGCTGAGTGTGAACGGTGACGCGGAAGGAAGGAAGTGGACGATTCGCACGATATCGACGAATAAACGCAAGTGCGAGGTTGAGATTAATGATGTTGTCGCGGGACTTGTTGACTTTCGCGACTATGGTGTCGAGTCTAACTGCGGCGGTTGGTGCTTCCGTGGATCTCGATTCAGGGGACTACGAGGTGCTACCCGATAACGAGGGGAAATCCGATGACAACGGTAACGTTACATTTTCAGTGCATGATTTCATGGGAAAGTTTGTGGGGAAACGGTCCGTGACCGCGCTCGAAACGGCCGCGTGAACGGGTACACGTGGGTGGCGCCAGGCGACACGAACGGCCGAATCGATGAAAATAATGGAATTGCCTCGTTCAAAGTTTCCCTCGTTCGAATTTCCAATCGTTAGTGTCGATCCAGAGAAATGGAGAATTTTTGCACAATTTTTACCGATCGCGTTGTTTCATTATCTATCCATGTCGTTACGTTACATCTTAACGTTTATTATTACACGTGGCCAGCTCGGCTCGAACGTATCCACCCGCTGGAATATCATTTATTCTTCCTGATACAACATTTCTTCCGTAATTAATCCGCGAGCGATTCGTATCTATACCGGCATAATAAATAAACTTGCGGCAAAGCTTTAAAACGAGCTTCGATATCGATCGATGCGAATCAATTAAGACGGGGAATGCAATTATTTTCTTCTTCTTCTTCTTCCTTCTCTTTTTCTTCTTTTTTTTTTTTTTAACTTAAACGCAAAGAACCGATGTAGCATGTGCGACGAATCATTTTTCTCGTGCTCAAAACTTTTCGACTGGCTGCCACTCGACTTTGACGCCAGAGTAATAAAAGTCGGGAAACGCCGCTCTCTAAATTAAGACCGCTGAAGTCACTGAAGTACATTAATTGGCTCGGCCTTTTCTGCATGCTCCATGACACTCGGGATTCGTAGAATGGCCCTCGAAAATTCTGAACGCTTTGTCGAATTGCCTCGAATTACAAGGTCTCGAGTAAGGCGGACATCGTTGAGTACGCGTTCGAAATTTATAATTTGTAGCCAGGTAACGAAAGGCTCGATAAAGGGTTGCTTTACCGTGTTCGTTTACCGTGCAACGTAACCAATAGGGAAATGGCAGGGGTATAGGATGCGTCGAATGGTTGGAATCGTTTAAGCAAGTGTCCCGACGATAAAAGGGGGAGGGGGGAAAAAGAGTGAAGATAAGAGGGAAGCAGATGCAGACGTGGTGCGTGGTACGGCAGCTCGGCCACGATAATTGCAAAATTGTACGTTCCTTGGAACGAAAAAGAAAAAAAAAAAAGAAGAATAATAAAAAATAAAAAAAAAGGTTTACACCAGCATGCCATTTTAAAACTCGTTTTTTGTGGCGGGCAAGCAACGCGGGGCAATTAAGGACGCGTGCAATTTCAACGTTTTATCGATGCACGTGAGTATTCGAGTGATAATAAGAAAGAAAGAAAAATACCGGAGGCTTCCTCCTTCCTCCCTCCCTCGCCCCGCTTCTCTCTGTGACACAAACTGGGCGATCTTGTTTTCTCGACGAGCAGGTAAAGCAAAAGTTGCGGAGAAGGAAGGGTCTCGGAATGCAGGAAGTCTCGGTAAAGAGAATAAACGATGGCGAAACGAAAATTGAATCGGCCTAGCATGCGGCGACAAATCGGTGGGAAGAGGATATTAAAAAATGGGGAAGGAAGAGAGGGGGATGGGATGGGGTTAGCGTGGTCGAAAAAGGGAACGCGACGAGGCTCGGCTGGATCGTTGGGCCAAAAATGATTCACGATATCGATCGATAGATTCCAAGTGGCGCCACCTAGGATGCGCGTCCTGCGGGATCAGTCGGTGGGGGCCAAACCGTACGAATTCCGGTCAAACGTGGCGCGCTTGCGAAATAATAAATATTTAAATTTTACCGTTCGCACGATACCGAGTTTAGAAAGACGATAAAGTATGTGTCGGGCGCCAGCTAGGCGCGCGGATAGCAGAGTACATAATATAATGCCTATGTGCACGATACCTACCTTCCGACACGCTTGTCTGCGCGGTCCTCCTTTTAACGTCGCTCGAGTCTTCATCCTGTGCGCATCGAGGACGAGAAACGGGACGGAAAAAATCGGGGAAAACTTCACTTCCTCGCGCCCGAATTACGTATTCGTACGGATAAACGAACGTTTAATTTTCGTTTAATCTCGCCGATAACGAAATGGAGGAGAAGTGTTGTTACGTAATCGTGCGATACAACAATAAATCATAGATTATGCATGTTGCTCGTTGCGTTACTCGATGGATTACCTAACCACCACCTTCATCGTCGATCGTTTTCAATTCCTCCCGAGGAGGAGGAGGAGGGGAGGAGAGGAAATGGTCGCGCGATAGGATCTCGCGACATGTCCCTCTTCCAATTTTCTATTCTCTCTCTCTCTCTCTGCACAGAGAGATCCGTTTATGCGTCCTACTCGCGATGGGATGAGATTCGATTCACGGAACCATTTCACTCCGGCGTTATAGTTTCTGAGACGCGCGGCACATCGCATTCTTCGTCCCGGGAAAAATGCTTCTCCCCCGCTTCTCTCCCCTCTTACCGTTTCTTGGATCGCGAAGAAGCCGTTAATCTAATGCATCCGACGAATCCGACCGTTTATCTACGACGAGCCGCGTCGATCCCTCGTTTTCGAGGAAGAACGAACCGCGCGGAATTTTGTATTTATAGTGGACGCAGATTAGAAAAGATTCGTCGCGGAAATTTTCCCGGAAATCATTGAATCGAAGATCGGTCTGTATCGAGCGGAGAACCGAATCGATCGATCAAAGTGATCGATGCGTGTCGGTTTTAATGCGCGCATCCGGCGAGAGAAACGTTTTCAATATTTTCGAAGGTTGGTTGAAAAAAAAAAAGAAAAATTACGTAAACCTCTCCGTGGTTCGAATCTCTTATCTGCGCGATACAAACAAGTTACGGAATTGCGATAACTCTGTTCGTTCGGAACGTGCAGCCGGTTGCATATTTATAGACTAGCGAGGTCGATTTTACGATATGAGTCATTCGTTTCGAATCGCAGACGCACAATTGTCACTTTTAACAAATGTTATCGAACGATGTTGCTTGTACGAGAAGAGGTCCAAGAATTATCGTTTTTTTTACACGCGCCAATTGATGCAAATTTTTCTTGCGCGATGACTTCGAAAAAAACATTTTCAACTTGAGAAATCGTTTCTCACGGTTAAATCGACTGTTTAAGATAATCTTAGACAACGGGACTTCAGAAAGAAAGAAAGAAAAATACGAGAGATGTCAAAAATGAAAACGCTCTTGTCTCGAGCGAAGTAACCGCGTCGAAAAATGCGAGCTCATCCGCGCGCCGCCGACAAACGTAACGCATGCACGCACACGCGAGTACAGCCGGTGTTTCACGTGTTCACACTCGGCCGAGTTGCAGCTGGTGTTACGTGCGCTCGTCTACGCACACGCACACAGGCGAACACAGAAGCGGCACGGTGGCGCCTGTCGGCCACACAAATGTGCATGCGTGCGTGACGAGTTTATACCTCTTTGTCTTGTGCACGTCCACGCGTACGTAAATACGCGGTTTCCACTTACACGCGCGCAAACACGTACGCCAAACACATTGCGCCGCGTCAAAGTGGTCTCGCGAGTGTGGGTGCACCACTGATCTCGTTTCGTTTTGACAAAGTAGCGCGTAAGAACGGAGGAAATTTCGTTTCTCTCGCGAGAATCGAAAAATCGATCGTTTTTTGGAGTTATATTTCAATATATAACAGGAAAATTGCAAATCGTATAATCGATTCTTCTCTTCGAGCCGATTTTCCTTTTACGGTTATCTCGCATCTGATAGATCTTACGTATGGACGGAAGTATACGGAAGTGTTGATCGTCGCTCGAGATATTATTAACGCGTAATCGCGAGAGAACACCCGGCCGTGGATAAAAGTTAAGACATTTTTCTTGGCGCCCTCGCGCTCCATACAACCCACCCACGTATCAACCGCTATCTGCTTCCGAATCGGGGCCCAAGGAGTTATTTACAGCCACTTTGCTATCGTTCGAATCGTATGCTTAAATTAAATTCGATCGTGTTGCGGGAAAAGGAAAAAAAGAAAGAAAGAAGAGGGAAAAAATGCTCGAATCGCGCTATTCGAAAGGCGGATTAATCGATTTGTGGAAAAAGGATAAACTCGATTGCCGATTTGCTGAAAAAAAAGAAATAAATAACGATTAATTGGAATCAACGCATTTATCTTTCCATATACTTATAAATCTGTGAAACGTCAACGAGAAGGAGAAAGTTTTATTCGTGAAACGTTAATTTATGGGCGAGCGTGCACGATAATTCATTCACTCGCCCGTTCTTTTTCTTTTTTTTCTCCTTTTTTTTTTCACTCACAGTCATTCGATTCTTCCGTTATTAATTAAACGTAAGGAGACATTAATCAAAGCATCAAATCACGTTAGATCAGTTACGGCGACGATGATAGTTTCGCTCGATGGCTTGCAATCGTTGTCCACGATCGGGTAAATTCGATTCGACGTGGACGTCTTAATGACTTTCATTGCACAATGCAAAAGGAACGAGAGAGTTTCTCGTCCTCGCGATCATTTTTACTCGTGAGGCGGGTGAAAAATGCGTTAGCATATTTCGTTACTCGAACTTGATCTCGTTAACAGCAATATGTGAAAATGATTACCCTCTAAAAATTTAGATCATTTTTCAAGCTATCGAGAATCGCACGAAGACAGCATATTCAACATATTCGCGTTGAACGAATAATCTTTCAATTTTTTCTTATCGAATTTCATCCGTTGAAGAGGGATTCAAAAAACTTTTCGGTTTCTCAAGCGTTCTAATTGACTTCGTTTGGGAAAGTTCGAGGGAAGGCACACGTGTAGACATTAGGAAAAAAAAAAAAAAATAAGTGGCTCAAGGGGGGACGAATATAACTTGACTGTTTGAAACCCGTGTCCCGTCCTATCGACCTTGTTGAAATTCAAAAATGGTTGCAATGCACTCCCGACCGCCTCATGTCCGATGCACATGCATACGATAAATATGCGTCAAACGATACGCAGCGTGCATTATTGCATCGTGAAATTCACATGATCGTGTATTCCGCATTATCGTAATAAGCATATTGAAGTTTACGAGTGGTGTGTATTTGAAATTTATGCAACTGAAAAAAAAAA